GCCTACTGCTCCTCAACTTGTCACAATACGGTCATAGACAGCATAAGCTACCGCTATGCGTAAGGGAGATCAAGTTACCAACAACTGATCATCCTAGTTTTAAGGCCTTAGTAGGAGCCCGTCCAGTAGCAGCAGCCATGGCTAGCGAGAGTGCCCATCCTGCCTCCACCTCCGGCGGAGGCGGCGATGAGGAGGTAGATGCTCCCGACTATGATCCGGCGGACATAGTCGAGATTGAAGGCTTCCACGACCCAGTGGCAGCAGCTGCTGATGACGACCATCCCGGCGTCACAGCTCCGGCGGAAGAAGAGGCCGAGCCAGCTGAGCCGGCCCGCCCTGTCATCCGTATCTCGGACCGTGTGATGGAGCGCCACACACAGCCTGACGTTCTACCCACCAGGGAGAACGCTGGAATCAACACCATGCATGAACTGTTAGCCGAGCAGAATGCCGGCTACCTATGGCCCCAAGAGGTTAAACCCGCTTAGGGATACCATGTTCAGCCAGGTGCCTGTATTGTGACGGCGGGCGTGAAATATTATCAGTTCCCAGGCAATCCGCACCACACCGTATCGAACCCGAACGTGTGGAAGCGTCTTCTCCCGCAGGAGTTGACGACTGGCAAGCAGATAGGTATGTGGGATCTGCGTCCACTCTACGAAGCTGATGGTGCCTTCAACGCCCACGTGGGGCGCCATCAAGCAATAATAAACAATCTCCTAGGCAGCAAGCCGGGAGTCTACTACCTGGACCAGATCTATGGCCAGGTGAGGCGTTGCTTAGAACAAGGACTATAAGTCTTTGCCTTGTTCTCGCGTGCGCGAGCAATCGGCACCGCTCCGTGGCGTATTATGTTGATCCATCTCGACGCCAAGCGAGATGGCAATTGGAATTATATGAGGTGTGGAGGCAAATGTCGAGACTGCGGTCCGACAGGCTACACGCCGGCCACGGTTCAGGCGCTCCAGAACCAGGGCCTTAGGACCGGCGGAAGCCGCAAGGCTCCGTGCACTGTCGACACCTTCAAGGGCCGACCCTGCTTTCACTCACGACCCTGGCCAGGCCGTCCGGCTCATGGCCTCTCGAGGCCCACAGCCACGTGCACCGACCCCAGGTGCCAGCCGCCCGGCGGAGCCAGGAGGCCCGCCACCTCCAGTGTCAGTGCCTACACGCGCACGCGTACTCCAGTGACGCTGCGCCCGGCAGTTGTTAAGGCAACCCCAAAGGTGCCTCCAGGCGAACCCAACGACATATTGGCGCGACAGAGCCATGCGCCTGACCCGACAGCCCCACCGCCAGGGGTGCGCGCGTTGCCAGCGCACCAGGCAATGCCAATTGGTCCAGGACCCGTGGCGGGCATGGACGGACCCGAGAGGGAGTTGTGGACATTGCATGCCACATCCGCCGCGAGAATCTGGGCGGAACGCGAATTGCACGTCTATCCCATCGGAGGAAGACTGTGCGTGGAGGCTCCTCCGACTCCCTACCAAGAGGAGGGAGAGAATCAGTATTTCATTGTCGCCAGGCCTACTCTCGAGGAGGCAGACACATTGAGCGGTCCACCTACGCGGAACGCAACCCGGGTGCTCCCGCCAAAGGCCTTACAGCCGTGGCCCGGGACCCATGAAGGGCCCGCTGCCTCCTCCAATGAGTAGGCGTAGGAAGGACTCTGTGGGCTCTAGTGTACCTACCTCCAGCCGTGCAAGAGTCCTGCAGCATCCGCATCATCTGAGCGCAGAGGTGAGGTCCGTACCCCTGCCAAGGCCGAAAGTGTAGAAGAGGTAGTTAAGACCGAGGATGATGGCTTAACTGTATCGTCTTCAGATCATAGATTGCCCACTGCCAACTTTGTGTGCAACGTTGCTTTGAACAAGGGCCGTAGGA